GGGGCTTGTGAGGAGATCGGTGCAAGGTAAGAGCTGTCTCTTATACACATCTAGATGTGTATAAGAGACAGTCTGTGGACACTCCAATTTTCAGGTTTTCTCAAGAATTCCTATGAGCGCAAAAAAACACGGAAGCGGAAGTTCGCCTTTTCCTGTTAGCCCGCACATGGCTGATTCGAAAAATTGCAAAATGCACCAAATCAGCGCCACAATTATTGTACAGTCTTAATGATTTATATTTTTATTTTTTCTGATATTTTTCCTGGAATGACCACAACCTAATCCACAGCTTCTCACCTTGTCAGATTTTTTCTGACGAATTCTTCTGAGCGCAAAAGATCTGCGAAGTTGCCATTTGCAAATTGCCTGCACGGCGTGCACGTAGGACTCCTAACAACCATCCCCCCCCGGCCCCCCCCCCCCCCCCCCCCCGCCTTCTTTTTTGGGTCCCCTTCCACCTGTTGACCTGTTCTTCCTTTTTCCAAAAGCCCCAGAGTTCTAGAAGAGCCAACTTTTGCACTGGTCACCCGCAAAATACGCCACCGTGACACAGACACCGAAGGGAAGCAGGCACAAGATAGAGACCCTTTTTTTTATTATTTTAATAGGGACAAGACAAGATAAGAGGCGTGTAGATAGGTAGCAAAAGGCAAAAAAAATAGCAGTATGTAAGGAAACGGGTGTTCTTTCGAAGACTTTTCCGCGAATCGAAAGGAAGAGCACTCAGCAGGGTGCAAATGGGTTCCACATCTGAAAATCGAGGTCCTCAACTCACCGAATTATTCGCCCAGAGGAACATGGCAATGTACAATGTACCTGACTGCTGCAAATCTAGAGTTTTTAGCTCATCCAGCAGCGGCTCAAACTTCAACTATCAACTCTGTTTTCTTGGGGGGGCTCCTCCCTTTTCTCTTCAAGAACAATTTAACCTGGAGTAGGTGGGGGGGGGGGGGGGGGGGGGGGGGGGGGGGGGGGGGGGGGGGGGGGGGGGGGGGGGGGGGGGAGTTGCGTGAATACAAAAACAGGGACTGGATAGAGTTGAAGCCAAAATAGGTATGTCAAGATCATGCCTTGCTACCATTTTACTTATTTACTCTACTCTACACGTGCAACAACAATTCAATCTGTCGCCGTCACTTTCTACCTACGACACAGTGGCAGCCGTTTCCACAATCGTGTTCAGCTATGGTGGTTGCCCGAGGGTCCTTTTTTATGTCCAACATCGCATTTTTTTAATTCCTGATCATCAGTCTGCTGTAGCCAAATGCTCACGGCAGCATGTTCAATAATTAAAACCTGGGAAGAAAAACAAAAGGTTAAACCACAAGCACTTGGCCCAGCTATCGGCCGCCGAAAAAAATAGAGTAGAAACGTTTCTAGTCGGATGAATTTGGGCGCTCCTGTAGTAGCCCGTACGTTGCCTAAAATCGTGGCGCGTTAACGGGCGCGACTCTAGGAAGTACCGGTGCTTCAAGAGGTTAGCAGCTACACTTGCTACTGCCATAGCCGAGGACTCCTAAGAACCGGTACCAGATTGCCTTAGATTGCCTTAGTTACTGTGTGACATGGTCACCGGTACCAGATTGCCTTACTGACTGTGTGACATGCATGGTCAGCATGTACCTCTGTCACGCACGAAAAAAAACGTTGCCACTGTTGAAGCTCAGAAAGAAAAGGGACCCGATGACATCAGCG